GTGAGTCGTTAATTAACAAAAATTATCCACAAGTATTTGTATGTATGTGCATTTTTTTTTCCTGGGGAGAGATATTATAGTTGTTTGTTCGTCTTGTTTTTAGATTCTCAAGGGGATCTTTGACCAAAAGAGAAGAAAAATGGAAGTGAATAGAAAAGAGCGCTAAAGATGGACAGTGGGAAAGGATCACCAAATCAATGGAGAAGTAAAACTCAAAGATGTAGGAAGTGCACAAAGAAAGTGTTGACAGCAACTTGCTTGAAAAGGAAGAAAGGTATCTTTGAGTATAAGGGAAGAGAAGGCTTTGAGTGGTTAATGGCTAACTTTGTTAAAAGCTCCTACATAGTTAAGCACATTGAAGTTTCAATGATTAATAGCTTCTGATTTAAAAATATGGTGACTGTTGTCAGAGCACCTTCATGAGCTGGGGGAGTACAAGCCAGACTGTGATGGGAAAGGAGTTAATGGAAAGGGAGGAAATGGTGACATGAAATAATAATTAGCTTTTTTTCTGGCTGAGAAGAAAAGGTGTGACTAGGACTAGAAACAGGGGTGTTCAGAAACAGAAGAGGCTTTTCAGTTTGCTTGTTTTAAGGATAGGAATGATGTAATTTTAATAAACTTAAATGATAGAATCATTAAATAAAGAAGAGGTTAAAGGTGTAAGTGATAAAAAGAAAGATTTTTGAAGCATGGTTCAGATTGGAGTGAGCAGTTGCAGGATCCAGAGGAGTGAGGGCGGTCAGCTTGACTATAGGATTGGAGGGAAGGAGAGTAGCTGAGTAGATACATGGGTAGGAGTTAGAAGTGGTGAGGGAGCTTCATTCCTGGGAGTTTCTGAATTTCTATTAAGGAAGAATTATCCTGAGAGTGAGGGGGGCAGAGGCAGAGACAGAATTTTGAGAAGGGTGACAAGCTGTACTCCAGCTGGTAAGGAGAGCTAGAGAGGATGCCAACCAATGGTAAGAGAAGATTTGATGAGACGTTGATGTTCAAATGACATTAGATCTAAGACTTTATAGTAACATCAATTAGAATAGTTGGTACAAATGTCCCAGGCAGCACTTAGCTTTAGGAATATAGGAAGTCAACCAAAGAACTAATTGAGATCTGGCGGTTTGCAGGAAAAGGCACTGTTTCTGTTCATACTCAAGCTGGTTCCCTCTCTCACAAATTTTTGGACCTGGAACTCCATCACTTACCAGTTATTAAAGGATTATGCTGCCACGGTCGTCCTTTTTTTAAAATGATCTTTTCCTTCTGTCTGATTCATTCTCATTGATCCAATTCTAACATTAAATCTTCCCTTTTAAAAACAAATCTCTGTGGCCTGCTCCTGCTACTTAGGAGGCGGAGGAGGCAGAGAGGGAGGAATTTCTTTATAAAATTCAATACAACTTCCCCTTTAATACTCTTGTGCATCTTCTTGAAACAGTTATTTTATATATTCACTTCCTCACCTCCCATTCTTTCTACTCTATCATTATTATTTGAAATTAAAATTATTTTTTCAGATTTATGTATACAATTTTTAGTATTTTTGAATAGCTAATCTATGTGCATATAACTAAATGGTATTAAAGCATATATAAGACTTAACCTCCGTCCATTATTGTACATCACTGCTCAGGTTTCCCTCTCTGTAAGCAATGACTGTTACCCATTTGTTTTGTATATACTTTCATACATTTTTCTTTGTTCTTTAATAAGTGATAACATAACATGATATTGCATTGCAACTTTTTTCCTTAATATGCTTTGAAGATCTTTTCAGATTAGTACATAGAAAGCTGCCTTATTAATTTTAACAGCTAGAGAGTATTTCATCGATTGGATTTATATAGTTCATTTTGCTTGTTTTCTATTTATACGTATTTAAATATTTTTTACTTACATAAAAAGCTTCTTGGAATAATTTTGAACATATCTTGTTTTTCCTAAGTGCAAATATATCTGTAAGATAAATTCCTAGGATTAGAATCATGAAGTGACCAGTCTTCATTCAATCCTTATCAATTTTTTGTCATTTTCATTTCAAGTAGCTCTTACCAAGGTCAAGTAAAATTCCAAGGTAATTCTTTGTCCTCATATATAATTTAATTGCTCCACAGCATTGGATATAGTTGATTATCACTTACACCTTCCTAAAATACTTTCTTCTTCTGCCTTCCATGATATTGAACCTTTCTGGATTTCCCCTTATTTCCCTGACTGCTTCTTCTGTTTTCTTTTCTGGTTCCTACTCTTTTCAATGTCCACAAGTGGACTATTCTAGAGCTCTTTTCTCAGTCTGATCCTTTAAATACATTCTGTCCTTAAACCATTTCATAATGCCCCATTATTGTAGATACTGTTTACACATTGATGACTCCCACATTTTTATCTCAAACTCTTAACATTTCCCCTGAGCTCTGTCCCAGCTACCCTTGTGATACCTGCACATGAAAATCTAACAGGAAGTTCAAAACTTAACTGCTTTTGCTTAGTTTTCTCATATCAGTTGGTGACAATGGTATTCTACCAGTTGCTTTGGTAATAAGTCCAGGCATGAGTCTTGATTTCTTTCCCTCCATTAGCAATCACATCTAATCCATCACCAAGTGTTCTTACCTTTACCTCCAGTATATCCAGAATCTGACCACTTCTCACCATCTCCACTGCTATCTGGTTAAAGAGAAGGCAAGGCTAGCAAACTCTAGTAGCTTCCTAATAGCCTCCTTGCTTTCCCTCTTGTCTTTCAATATATCATCTCAACACAATAGCAAAAGGATCCTGGTAAAAACAAGTTTCCTGCTAGAAGTGCTTTCATGGCTTCCCATTGTACTTGGAAGAAAATAGAAACGCCATACCTATCACTTCTGAGTGAAGGAAACACCCTGAGGGCTTGGAGAAATTATCAGATCAATACAACTTTCCCTTTAGTACTCTTGCGCACTGACTGACTGATAAAATTTTTGCCAATTTATGTTCATTCTTAGGCTCTGTTTTTAATTTTTAATTAAAACAGATCTTTCTAAATTAAAAAATTTAAGTTAAAAACAAAAAAATTCTTAAGAAATATGTGGTGTTTTATTTGTATTAGCAACTTTATGGCAATCTTTATAAGAACAATATGCCTAAGAACTTTATAAAATGTAATACATTTATTTATTTAAATCAATGAAAAAATTTACTTTACAAATATGCTATTGCTCAATTCCAGCCAGCTATAAAACTTGTCTAAAGAGGTAAAGTGGCAAAAATCCATTCTTCTTTAAATCTTCACTCCAACAGAGATCTTCACATACTCTTGTAAAGGAGCAACCCCTTGATAGAACAAGCTCATTAGCCCTGTAACACACGGCAGTGGATGAGGCTTGACAAACTATTCATACTGACAAAAGTGGGTGTGGGAATATATACTAAGATTTCTTGAGCAAAATAAGTAAAATAAGTTACTTTCATATCTGGGAACTCCTAAGCTAACAGGAGGCAAGTGTAACATCTGTTCTAGAAACATCTTAGCTTAATGAAAAATCTACCCAAAGCACAGAAAACCACTCCTATTGGAAACAGTGAACAACTACTTTCATTGACCGACCTTGACCATAGATTTGAATTGGGAAGAGAGGAGCAAGGACCCATTTCCCCTGGAAGAATCTCAAAGTGCTGATGCTTGAACCTGTTTCTAAATTTGGAGAAAGGGAAGCAGGAGGAGGAATAGCAATTACAAACCCAGAGGGAGGTCAGAGTCTTCCTTGGGCTTTGACACTCCCCCTCCCTCTGAAAGCCAGATCTTAGTCCTCCCTCAACAAACAGACAAATAGGCAACTCAGATTTAAGGATAATTAGATTATTGATCACCAAAACAAATTTCCAAGATTTGATTGTAAATTTGTTTCATTTTCCTGGCTTTTGGCATAGCACTAAATTTAGTGCACCTGCTAAACTAAACCAAACTGCAATGATTACATAGATATTCCATAAAAATTAAAGGGAGTGGCGGGTGACGTTCCCTGCTTATGTCGCCTTAAATGTTCAAATCAGCTTCACTCTATTACAATTGTCAAGGTACCTAGGAGTACTTTACATGCAAAAAAAGAAGTCTTCTCAAGGCTTCCTCCAAAGCGCGTGGCAGCGCACCTTCTGATCCCATCCAGTGTCCTATCAGGGGTCACCCCTTTCTTGCAAATGGAAATAACCCAAAACCCAAATCCAGCATCCAAAATACTCTCCGTATGTATTCTTTCTCCTCCCCTCCTACATTTCATTCCTTAACTTTCTGAGTCCACAGAGGCAGCTCTCCTAGTCCCTTCGGGGGACAGGAGCCCTGAGGATGTACCCGCACTCGCATCCCACTTAGCCTGTTCTCAACCGCCCCTCTAAACAGGAAGGCGCCTTCCTCCGCAGGGCAGGACCCGCAGCAGCCCAGGCACTTAGCGGACGCGAGGTGGAAGCTCTCCTGCCCGTTCACCTCAGTAGGTCGTACCCGCGGAAAATCAAGTTAGAAAACTGCAACCTTTCTGCCCCTCCTGCCAGCTTCTCACAGCTCTCTATTTTCCCCAGAATCCTCCCCAGATCCCCCCGAGGGGTGGATTCTAAGACTCCCCGGTCGTTCCAGTGTTGGATTCCGGCCCGGACGGCATCTGCCTCCACCCCAGCGGCTCCTCAAGGTAGGAGCGCCGGCAGCCTGCACCCCGGCGGCGTCGTGGGCCCGGACCGCCACCCCAGGCCCCCGCCCCTGGCGGCCGCGCCCCCCGAGCCGGGACCACCGGCTCCGCCCCCGACCACGCCTGCTCCCGCAACTTCGCCTCCGGGGAGCTGAGGCTGCCGACCGAGTGCGGACGGGCAGTTCTTGAATGCCCGCGCTGCTGGCTGGCCCCAAAGTGTCCGGAAGAAATTCGGCTCCAGCCCCGGGGGGCTTCCCGGCCCTCCCGCCGAAAGCAGGTTGGGCCCGGGCTGCCTGCTCCCCTTCCCCAGCTGCGCGCTCCCCTTCGCTGGGCGCCGAGCTGCACACTCACCGCGAGCGCTGCTCCGCACCCTCCGGGGCGGGAGCGGTGGGCCCCTAGGCCCGGAGCCGCCGTGCGGGACGCGGGCCACGTCTGCTCCCCGGACCGCGGGGCGCTGCGGGACTCGGGCGCCGCGCCCGGGCGGGTCCGGAGCGCGGTCGGCAGACGCACCGGGCTCCACACCACCCCTACCGCTCCTCTCTTCTTGCCTTCATCTCTTCCTTCCCTCTACATCCCTCCCTCATCTTACCCCCCTCACTTTTCACCTCCCTCCCTCCCTCCCTTTTCTCTCAGCCGTCTGCTCCCCCCTCCCCCCTGAGGCGTGGAGAAGGGCGGGGGAGGGGAAAAGTCCCGTCTCTTTAACTTGAGTGATACCTTGGAGATTATCTGTTCACGGCATCTGGAAATGACGTGAACAGTCTTTGCTAAAGCATCTGAAAGAAAACGACTTTAGCCTCTTTCTTTTCATCTTTGCATCTCCCTCTAAGTGGCCCCTTTTATTCGGTTTGGGTGGCTAGCAATGAAGTGAGGTCGGTTACGGAAAGCGAAGACGGAGTTAGAGGCAGCATTCTTCAGAAGCGGGAATGAGAACCAGCCATTGAGTGGACCCAGAGATCTGTTTAACCGAAATTTCATAAAGCAAGCATGTCCTGAAAAAGAATTAAGGTTGGGGGCAATAGGCAGGGTAATGGGACCAGGGCTTATTCAAGGCTTTGTTGTAAGGCATCCTTTGTGGTTGACTCTCAGGATGTGTTAGAATAATACATCTCTAGTGTTTTGACCTGGATTTGACCTTGAGAAAATACCTGACCTTTCTTCTTTCTGGCCTTAAATCTTCTTTCCTCAGATGTTTTATAGCCCAGTGGACAGAGTCTGTTCAGCTATATAGCTTACCGGAAACTCCCCAAACCTGCTTTGACTGACCCTAGAAACTTGAGAGCTTCTTGAAAGGTGGCAGTTTCCCAGGATTGGGACAGGTCTTCAGTATTGGGAAGACTGGGACAGATTGTTTTTTTGTACAGAGAACCATCCCCACAGTACACAGGTTGAGCCTTCCAGGACTGTTGTTTCACACTGGGCTTGACTGTTCTAGATTCTTTTTCCCAGAATAATTCAGTCACTTGAATTGGGCTCCAGCCCCGGGATCCTTTCTTATATTCCACATCCTTCCTAATCCTTTCTGCCACCCTAAAACGATCCTATATAAATCTTCCTTATAAACTAAACCTGTATTTTCCATCTTTTCTTCTGTTGATGAGGTCATTCTTGTTCTCTGGCATCAGGTATTTAAATAAGATACTATATATAAAACAATAAGCAGAACACTTGGAACTTAGTACCAGAGAAATGTTAGTAGAATTATTATGGGTAATGACTTCAGATTATTATTAGCATCTTTTCATGTTTTTATTCTGTCACATAATTCTTAAACCTCTGTTCTCTGTGCCATGATGTGCACAGTCACAGCCTCGTCCCTTATAAACATGTGACTGTGTGGTTATGGCTACTTATTTAGGAAAGCATAGTGAAAAGAATCACAGGAAGTTAAGATTTATAACTTTCCTAATAGAACATAGTAATTTTCCTAGAAGATATGATTTTGACCACCTCGATTTTACATTTGTACCCAGAGCAGTTTGTAACAAATCTTGTAGATGACAGCCATGGAGAGAGCCCAGGGTTATATCCGTCTCAGCAAGCAGATTAGGAATGTAATCACCTTCTACACAGAGGGATGTTTCCAGATATCATGTCTGGACTTGAGAGGTTGGAGTTAACAATGAGCAAGGAGATTAGGAAGACAGTCACTTTCTACACAGAGGGGTGTTTCCGGATATCATGTGTGGACTGGTGAGGTTGGAGTTAACAATTCTATAGTACATCTAATGAGTAAATGATATTAAGTGAAGATGTGGAAAAGACCTCACCTATGATGCAAAGGGGATCTTAGGGTTTTCAATGTTTCTGCTATTGCTACTGAAACAAATTTGCTCGGGATGAATATACCTTGCATACTGCAACAGGGTGTTGTGCCTTAGAGATAAGTTCATTTGCTGTGCAGTTCGCAGATACTTAACCCAACAGACAAGACACAGCCATAGTTTTCAGCTAGGGTTACTCTGAGTAACAGAGGATGAGTAACTAGGCTGCTTCTTTAGATATCTTATATTTTAGAAGCCTGAGTCTCAGTGAGAAAAAGACCAGAATTTCAACTAGTTATTAAGTTCACTGCTTTTAAGATGTTTAAAATGACTTAAGTCATCACAGACAAGTTCTTTTTAAAAGCTTAGTGGAAAGATCCAGAAAGTGTCAGTGCTTAAACGTCTTGTTTGTTTTTAACCTTTAACATGCAGGGACACATGTATTAACAGGCAAGACACTAATGGTCTATTTCATGAGCTTTTGCCAGAAAGGAGATTCTCATTAAGGACAAATTGCACTATTTTGACAATATTGATCTCAGTTTAAGACTAAGTTCAAGTACTTTTGTTCCTTTCAATTAAGTTGACTGTACTGTTAAGATAACCATAAAAACCAGACATAGATGCAAAATTAAGGAAAAAGCTGAGAAGATGTAAAAGGATGTAAATAGTCTAGACAGAATTAACACAATAGTGCAGACCTAAATAATGTAACCTTTCCATAATGGCTTATGTTTCCCTTGAGTCATTTGGCTAACTACAGAAGATTAACCTGACCTCATAAACATCACAAGACCCACTGACTCATTCCATGACATCAATAGGTCACTTCTTAAAAAAAATTTTTATTAAGGTATTATTGATATACACTCTTATGAAGGTTTCACATGAAAAAACAATGTAGTTACTACATTTATCCATATTATCAAGTCCCCACCCATACCCCAATGCAGTCACTGTCTGTCAGTGCAAGATGCCACAGATCGACTATGTGCCTTCTCTGTGCTACACTGTTCTCCCTGTGATCCTCCACACCATGTGTACTAAACATAATACCCCTCAGTCCCCTTCTCCCTCCCTCCCACACCCCCTCCTCTTTGGTAACCACTAGTCCCATCTTGGAGTCTCTGAGTCTGCTGCTATTTTGTTCCTTCAGTTTTGCTTCATTGTTATACTCCACAAATGAGGGAAATCATTTGCATTTGTCTTTCTCCGCCTGGCTTATTTCACTGAACATAATATCCTCCAGCTCCACCCATGTTGTTGCAAATGGTAGGATTTGTTTCTTTCTTATGGCTGAATAGTATTCCATTGTGTATATGTACCAAATCTTTATCCATTCATGTACTGACAGACACTTAGGCTGCTTCCATATCTTGGCTATTGTAAAAAGTGCTGCGATAAACATAGGGGTGCATATGTCTTTTTGAATCTGTGAAGTTGTATTCTTTGGGTAAATTCCAAGGAGTGGGATTCCCGGGTCAAGTGGTATTTCTATTTTTAGTTTTCTGAGGAACCTCCATATTGCTTTCCACAATGGTTGAACTAGCTTACATTCCCACCAGCAGTGTAGGAAGGTTTCCCTTTCTCTGCATCCTTGCCAGCATTTGTTGTTCTTAGTCTTTTTGATGCTGGCTCTCCTTACTGGTGTGAGGTGATATCTCATTGTTGTTTTTAATTTTCATTTCCCTGGTGATTAGTGATGAGGAGCATCTTTTCATGTGTCTGTTGGCCATCTGAATTTCTTCTTTGGAGAACTGTCTCTTCATATCCTCTGCCCATTTGTTAATCAGGTTATTTGCTTTTGGGTGTTGAGGCATGCAAGTTCTTTATGTATTTTAGATGTTAACCCCTTGTTGGATACGTCATTTACAAATATATTCTTCCTTACTATAGGATGCTTTTTTGTTCTGTTGATGGTGTAATAGGTCACTTTTTAGAATAATTATTTTAAGTACTGGTTTTTGTTGTTGTTGTTTTTCCCTGTTTTGGAAAAGCACTGTAGAGTAAAATGGAAACTCATAATGCAAATTAAAGTAATCAAATAAGCAACCTCTCCCTAAGTTTATGGGAACACATAAAGTATTTTATTCTTTTGTAATCATTCATGTTGACTTTATTCATTCATTAAACTTATCAGATAATTAATCAGTTCTTTTGGAAGAAAGTCAAACACAAAGGTATGAAGAGTTGAAAAAATGTAACTTAATTATTCCATAGTATGCCAGGGAAGACTGACTTGGGAAATAATGAGTATTATAAAATAATGGTTCCTTTCTTTTAAGTGGAAAATATGCCTAGGTAACTCTTCAGAGAATACTATTACATCTAAAAAACTGACAGAAAAATTGGGTTTATAATTTAGATTGATTCTTTTATGTGAATCATTAAAATACCCATTCTAGTAGGTACACTCATGCGTTACTTTCCAAACATGCACCTTATGATACAGCAGAAAAACCACTTAATTACGAGATTCCACGTCTGTCACTACAGAACAGTCTTTCCACTGGTAAATTGGGGCACAGTTTATTCATTGGGTGGGGGGGGTGCTGTAGTGAACAAGATAGATACAAACACTTAAATGTTGTTCTTGTCTGTTGCCACACTGTTCTCTGGTTCCACAACGCAAAGAATTACAACACGGTGTTATGCACACTGAAATATGTGATATGGCTGGGCAAAAAGTTGAAGATTATGTGATGTGTAAAAATAAGTAGTTAATAAGTCTACTCTGATGGTGTTATAGAAAATAACTGTTGATTGAATTCAGTTAAAAAGGTATTAACAACATTAAAGTACTAGATAACCAAACCTTCCAGCTAAAAACCAGAGTTATCTCAAGAGATAATCAATACAAGTAAATGTATGTTTCTTAATAATTTTGATACCACTGTTATATTATAATTGTGTTTTACCCATAGACATTGTTCATAATTGTTTTAATATTTTCAGTAGCAATTCACAATGTCTAATTTATTCTATATTCTGTAAGACAAGAAAATTGCACTTATCTCTGTACTTTCATGAGAAAACAGTCATGAAGGAGCTTTCCATTAGAACTGAACAGACTTGACTCTGAATTTCTTTTAGCCATTAACTAGTTTAGTGACTAAAAGATCTTTAATTTCTCCCAGTTTCAGCTTCCTAAAATTTCCTGTGGGAATAATGCCAAATCTATTTATCTTCAGAAATTACCCTGGGTATACTGGGATATAGCATATGAAGTTTCATAGAAAGGATAAAGTATTATACAATGTAAGATCAAACAAAGTGAGTAGAGC